AAGCATGACTGAAATCCAGGACTAGGATCTGTCTGAGAGGCCGAGGTTTTGATGTCCCATGTGGGGGAAAGCAAAAAGGAATATAAGATTTAATCAAAGAGTGACTGAAGAGTTAAAATCTAAAGAGAAAAAGCACTTTTGGGATACTCAGGTGTTTCTTAAAAAAAAATCCTTTTTTTTTTATATTAAGTTATAGTTTTACCTAAGCACAAAACAACTGGAATAAGTCAATGTTTTGTTTACTTAAAACAGTCTATTTTCTTCTAGAAAAGGCAATATTGAAAGGAATGTGTGCTAAGCAGGAATTAGTGAAGTTATTCTTAGGGGGATATGGAGAGGATGGGGCTTTGGAACTCAGCATTCCAGGGAAAAGGAAAAGTATGTGCAGAGGCCTGGCCGGCAGAGCAGCCTGTGAGCTTGGGGACACTGGGGGAACTCAGTGTAGCTGTAGCTGGCACACAGGGCAGTCAGAGCAGAGTGGAGGGAGAGCAGGGTTGGCTTCACACCAAGGTGGGGTGAAGCTGCAGGAGGGGAAGGGAGAGAAGGTCTGTCCTCAGACTTTGGGTAGGTCAGCAGCTAACTGGACAGCAGGTTCTGGAGACCAGGGGGCAAAACTAGTTTGGACACAGTTTGTAAGTCATCAGTTAAGAGACAGAGACTACAGCTATGAAGGCAGAGATCACCAGGGGATGAAGGAGACAGGAAGAGCCAGGATGCAGCCTTCAGAAAGACTTATGTAGGACAGGGCAGGAGCACGCAGAATAGGGATGTAGGAGGAAAGCCCGTTGAGTTGGTAAAACAGGCCCCATGGGGAGATCACTTCTTGAGGGCAGCAGGGCCATGGCAGAGAGGACAGTGTGGTTGGGTGGCTCATGGCAGGGGTACTGCCCCTCAGCACTCAGGCAGCAGGCAAGAGAGATGTCTCCACCAACAGCCTCCATTTTCTCAGATGCCTAGGAACCCCTAAAACAGTATCCATGAGAAGCAAAGCGACTGGCTCTCAGATAAGGCACAGTATGCAGCACCCTACTGAACAGACTGTGGTAACAGAAAGCATCTGACACAGACTCTTAGTGGAGCAGAGAAATGGGAACTCCATACAAAAAGACAAACACCAGAAGCTGCCACAGGACACTCCAGGGCTGCACTGGGTGGAGCACGGGGCTTAGGTAGCAGACAGCAAACAAGAACCGCCTCCTTGCCATGTTGTAGGGGTCTGGTTTGTGTGGTGTGGGTCCAATATGGCTGCGGGACACAGGGAAACGTGGGGTGGGGTTCATGAGAGGGTGCAGACCTCAAATGCGTCATGGCACCAACTGAATCAAGATGTGAGTTTTCCTCAGCAGCCCAGGTGTAAGAGTTCAGGGGGTGACGTGGAATTACATGAAATGGTGGAAGACAGCAGGAGTGGGGGTGGGGGAGGGCTGAAAGCATCAGCGAGAAGGCCACACAGATGGTCATGCCAGAGCTGGATTTGTTCACCACACACATGACCTAAGGGACATTGGCTTGGAGGCCTTAGCCTGGCGGATAGATCACCAGGCTTAAAAATAGACCTTGAACTCTACTTGTTGTTAAGGTACAAACTTGACTGAGGAAGGCTGGGTGGGGCCTGACACTGCATTTCTCACCAGCTCCTAGGTAATGGTGGTAGTTCTGGCCTTAGGTACCCTCTCCTTTTTTTTTTTATTTTTAAAATAAACTTAGTTTTAAACTGACAGATAAAACCTGCATACATTTATCACATACAACATGATGCTCTGAAATAACTACATACTACAGAATGGCTGAATCAAGCACGCTAACATCTGTACGAACTCTTGTACCATGTCCTTAGGGTGATGCTCAAAGACATAATGTGTTGTTATTAACTACTGTCACCATGACAACATCTCTCAGAAACTCGAGCTCCCTATCCAGACCAAGGGCTCATCAATAGCTTCACTTCACCCATCCCTCCTCTACCACCTGTGACTTTTTCAATAAATAAATTAATAAAAATATATATGTATTTTTTTTTTACCAACAACGTATTTGAAAGAGTGAGAGTGAGAGAGAGAAAGAATATCACTCATCTACTAGTTCACTTTCCAAGTGGCTGTAAATTCCATCCATCTGGGCCTCCCCTATGCATGGCAGGAAACCAAGCGTGTGTAAGCCATCACTACTCCCTCCCAGGGTGCATAGCAGCAAGAAGCTGGATAGGAAGTGAAGCTGGGACTCAAAACAAGCACTCAGATACAGGTTGTGAAGGTCCCAGGTGGCATCAGAGCCTGTGTACCACACACCCTTCCCTTTGCCCCACGGAAGGACTTCCCAGTGGGGTGCCAGAGCCCACACATTGCCAGGAATTCTGCTAGTCAGTTATACACCAATAACCTGAAACTCACTGCAATAATTTTTACACTTCAGAAATCCACAAATTGGGGCCTCCCTGCATTCCTTTGGGGAACCAGTTGTTAAATATTTACTAACACACCACCAGCCAACCTTCGATAACACTGAGACATGCTGCATCACGCGCTTCTGTGTGAGGGGTCGTGAGAGCAGGCTTGGACTTGGCCTCTATGCTGCATTCGTTTGTTGGTATCACAGGAGTGCCTGAGAGAAGGCATCCAAGGAACTGCTTATCTGGGTGCATCAGAGCACCTAGCAGGCAAACGCTTGATGCCACTCTCTCTGCCTGTTCTGTGAGCTAAGCAGCACTGTGGGAAGGCAGAGAGCATTGAAGAGGCTGCTATGGGCAAAAGGTGACTGGCTGGAAATCCTCACCTAAGTCACTCTGTACTTACCAGCCCTGTGGGCACTGGGCTGCCTTGGGCTGGGTGTACGGGGCTGTCTGTACTGCATTACCAGGCTGATTCTTTATCCCTGGCTAAGAAATGCTAACAGCAACTCTCAGCAATGGTGAGGGGAACAACCTTTCTCCCTTCTAAGTACTAATCAGGCCCAACCCTGCTTAGCTTCCTAGATCAGACAAGATTGTGCGTGTTCAGGGTGGTATGGCCGTAGACGGAACTGCCTAACTTTCTCACTGGCCTTCAAAATTGAGAAGCTTAAATAAATAAAACATACATCTATTATGACCACAGAGCAATAAGTGAATCTCTTTCAGTGACAGTTGCTGATTAAAAAAAAGGGGGGAGGGAAGCCTTCTCTCTTCTGATCTATGAGCCATGCAGTTTTCACTTACTATTTTTTAATATTCTTCATAATTTCATGAATTGGCTAAGGCCACAAAGACTCCCCTGAATCCCTTAGCTGTGTGGCTGCGTCCAGGCCCAGTGCTCGCTGAGAACACCCTCCCATCTGCTGGAGGAGACCTCTGGGTGTTGCTGGGGCGGAGAGGGCTCACAGGAGGGAGGCTCCTGGAGAGTGGGCTAGCAACACAGGCTTCAGGAGTGCAGGGCAAAGCAGGCTGGGAACCAAGTGCTAGAAGACCAAGTCTCCATGCCTGCAGCTCCTATGGAAACTGGGGTAGGACCCTAGCGAATGGCAGAGCTGCTTCTCATCTCTGGACCTGCAGGGGCGCAGTGACTGTCATCCACAAGCAGGGGGTTTAGCATGGAGTGGAGTGAGTGGCAGGGAATGTGGCTGTGCCCATGTGTGCTCTATGGGTGGGATATGGCCATGACACCTGTGAGGCCAACCTCCCTTCTTTATAGAGGAGGTGGTGGGGAAGGCAGAAGGGTGTCTCTACACTCCATCCCATAAAGTGCCTCTCTGATCCAAGTCAGGCTCCAACCTTTCCTCCTCACCTTTTCATTTACTTCATTCAACTACTCACTGCTGTGGAGATGATGTCTCTGTCCCCTTCATGGGGGAACAGAGGGATGGATTTAGGGATGGGAAAGAAGGCTGGGGGAGGCCCAACTGCCAACCGCCATCTGAGAGGGATGGGGGCATTGTAGGACAGTGCCAGGTGCTTCTGGTTCCAGAAGCTGTGACTCTCTGTGCCCCTCCGGACCTGGTGAGAACCACCAAGGTTCTAACTGCCCACTGGGCTCCCCTTTTCTGGCCGGCCTGTGAGGCAGGGATGTAGCAGCTCACATCAAACAGTAAGAGTCCTGAGTGGACTCAGTCAGTTGCGGGAGGAAAGGGCTCCATTTAGCATCTGCCCAACCCGTCATGAAGCTCACATCAACCTCAGCAAGCAGGAAGAGCCAGCAGTCTTTTGTGAGGTGCATCAGTAACAGGCAGCAGATAGGTGGCAGGATGGAGCACGGCCTGTGTTACAGTTAGGTGGAGATGGGAGGATGGTGTGTGTACAGGTATGTGAGCAAGAGCTGCGAATGTGTGTGTGAATCACATGCACACAAGGAACAGCGTGTGAGAGTTGTGTGTATGTGTGCAGGACTGTGTGTTCAAAAGTTGTGTGCATGTCAGCCAGAATCGTGTGCAAGAGCTATGTGAACATGGGTGAGTCATGTGCCATGTACAAGAGACCATTCAGGGTAGTGTCTGTGTATCATCTAAGGATGATCTTCGCTTCATTTGTTGGGGCAGGAGGCCCCTGTTGCTAGACATGCTCAAGGGCAAGAGTATAGAGCAAAAGGCAGCCCAAGAAAGGACTGTGGAGGCTGAAACTGGCCCTGCATGCTTCACAGTGTTCCCTCGCAGGCTGGCTGCACCCCCTCACCCACTGGTCTGTAAAGTGTCAGCCTGGTGAGAGACACTGTGCGGCCTTAGCATTCAGGGCTGTTGAGGGACCTGGGGACTGCCTTTCCCAGGGGAGCCCTTCTGGAGTCTCTTTACACAGTCCCATTGCATTGCTCATGGTATCTGTGCCCGTGTTCTGCCTGCAGGAGTGGGTGGTTCCACTGGGAAGTCCCCTTTATGCAGGGTTTCCCAACACCAGAAGCTGTGAACAAGAACAGTGCACCAAGTGCTACTACAGAAACTAACAGACAAGACATATCTACACCTTCACCTGCTGAAGAAGTGCTACGCCAATGCGTGCGGTCACAACAAGTCAGGCTGGCAGCTGGATGCATGGTTACCTGTTCCAGATCCCACGACGTCACGGCTGGGTGACTCGGCCATGGCGTCAGCGAGGCGCTCCCGCAGGCCTTCCTCTGTGTGCTCCATGGAGGACATGTGCCGCAGCCCGAAGCCCTCAGGCCAGCTCCCACACACCTCCAGCAGGGTCACACTCCGGTCAAAGGTACCTGTAGCACATAGAGGACATCTGGCATTGAGTCCATGTCTTCACAGGGCAGACCATTCTTTCTTTCCATCCATTACTACATGACCACTTCCATGGGCCAGACACAAAGTGGCCTCTGTGGGACAGGCATGGGTGGTGCCGAAGAAAACGGCTCCTGCCACTGCAGTGGTGCAGACCACCTTACCACTGTAGGAAGTTTCACAAGGAGGAACTAGGGAGCAGGCTTCCTCTATTATCCAGGGACTGTCCCTCCTCCAAGTTCACCCAATACATCTTGACTTCTCTATCTGATATAACAGGACTCCACCTAAAATGCATTCAAAAGAGGGGGTTACATGGCCTAAATGGCAAAATAGACTTTTCTAAATCACTACATTCTATTACCTATTCACAAAGAATTCATTTCCCACTAGAAGCTTTAGGAAGCGATAGTGCAACAACACACAGCCAGCGTGTTTGTCCAAGGGGTCAAGATGGCTTGATGCCTTACTGTGCAACTCATTCTACACCACCATGAGGTCTCCTTGCATGCCCAAGGACATATGCATAGCCAGGGTCTCACGTACGGACACTGGCAGTAGAGTTGGGTGACAGCATCTTCAGCAGTGAGTGTTCTTTAATCCAAAGCTGCTCTCCAACTCTAAAAGTACATGGTGTTCTGTTCAATGCCAAGATTAGGTTTGAGATGCAAGATCATTCCAAAGTGCAAGTTTAAATTATTCTACTGTATTCTTTTTTAAGATTTATTATAATATTCTACTGTATTCTACAGCAAGTTTTCTGTGAACACTTATTTCTCTTGGGTGGATTATTATCCACCTTCTCTTGGGTGGATTATTATCATGCTCTGCTGCTTTAAGCACATGCCTTTTCCCCAGTGATTAGGTAACTGAATCCACCACATATATTGGGTTTGGTTCCTGCCAGCACCAGGAAGACAGAGTGGAGGGGGGGAAATGCAAATGCCAATGTTCCCCAAAGTTAAAAGTACACAAAACACACACTCTTTATCGGGTCTCGCTTCTCTTCTTTGATCAGCCGTCAGAAACTATCTTCCCTCGGCAGCCGGGACTGGGCAGTGTCAGCACACACTCTCTGCCAATGACAGGTGGTAATAGAGAGGGTGTGAGCCCCAGCCCCGGCAGGCGGCCCTGCCTCTGATAATGGCCAAAGCATCGAGGTGATAACCGTTAGTAAACGCTCGACAGCCGGTGACTCCATACATCAGCAAAGTAGGCCAGATAATCCTGAACTCTCCTGCCCAGACAAAGGCCCTTGGTCAGCCTGTGGGGATTTATATGTGTGGCAAGGGTCACCACCAGCTCCTGAATTTCATCAGCCAACTTTGGCTTTGATTTATCTCTTACCTAATTGTGCAGCAGACGCCTGGCATTGGGGAGTGGGGAGCAGCAGTTTTAACTGTGTCTCCCCAAAGAAGCAATCTTGGCAGCTGGTGGCCTGCCATCAGCCTGTGGGGTGGGAACTGGGAAAGGTGCACCACCCTTTCTAACCTTCTCTGTCCATCAAGTTGGATCAGGGTGGTGTTCTGGAGAGCTGGGTGCTAAGTGTCAGGCAATTTGCTGTGGGCCTAGACTAAGCAGCCTCAGGTCTAGCACCAAAGCCCATTCAATGTTGACCCAGCTCCCAAGGACACACAGGGCTGCTGATGTAAATTAGGCTGCCAGCTTTACTGCCTACACCCCTGTGACATTAACTGAGGGCCTGTATCTCCTTTTTCCATTTCTTTGCCCTGTCTCCACAGTTACAAAAGGCTTTCCCAGGAGCCCATGCTTCCCATGCTCCATCTTACCCAATAAGAGGAATGACAGGAAAACAAGGGCCCTCCTCTTGCTTGGACATGTGGCTTTCTCACAGACAGAGGTGGCTGAGAGTGGGGAACATTGGGAAAGGAACAAACAGTGGGGCAAAGGCCTCCTGGGTAAGTGGGTGGGGCTCCAGTGAAAGAATGGCCTACGCTGCAGCTGACAGAGGAGTGTGCGCTATCCCAAGGCACGAAGGAGAAAAGGATCTGAATTGTATCACAGGGTGGAATGATATGGGGCAGAGAAATAAATCCAGACTTATTGATTCACATACATGTCAGCCATGGGACTCCAAGCATGTAGGGCTGCTATGATGCCCACGTGAGGTAAAGCAAGTAGTGCTTGCACATCACAGGGTGCTCCTGCAACAATCACAAATGTCTACCTTTGTAGACCACCACATTCTGCAGGTCGGCTCTGTAGGAGGAGTGGGAAATTGACAGAGCCTACATAAACTTCGTAAGTTCTTAATTCTCAGCTTGTAGCACATTCTTTTCAAAAACATTTTACCATACTCACTTCCTATGGAATGTTACATACACACACACCTTTTTTTTTTTCCCTGAAAGCACAGGTGGATAATATTAATACGTCATAATACGGGATTCATGACCAAGGTCATAACATGAGGCAAGAGGGAGGGACAGATGACCATGTTGGCGATGTAACTCACATAAGATAACCCTTTTTCCGTCTCTGTACAAGCCCAGAGCTCTTTCTGTCAGCTCACATGCTGCTTCCCTTCCCGTCTTTCTCAGCTGGATTAGAGAACTCCTGTTACTTTCATCTATGGTTTTTAAAGAATTTTTTTTCACTTGTAACCACCCCCAATCCTTGTATCCATGGCTATGGTGATGAGTCTGCCAACCATGTAGCACACAGGAAAGACAGAACATGTTTCCTCTCTTAGCCTGGGCACAGCTGGGGAGTTATGGGTAGGAGGTTGGAGACACCTGGTCACGTCTACTGTCTGCAGAAGCCAAGGCAGGGCCCCTGTTCATTTGATTAGAAAGGTCCTGGCAGAGGTTGTGCCGTTCTTCCCCGCCCTCTGCCTTCTCTCCCAGTCTGCTGCTGCCCTGGCTGCAGGTACATGGTCATCAGCAGGCAGAGGGGTGAACAGGCCAAGCCCTAGGAGGATGAGGTCATTTCTGGACTCTTAGGAAGCTGCACATCTTGTAAGTGGTGACAGAACAGCTCTCATTCATCTTTCAGCCCGGGGACACTCTGTCAGAGGGCAGGCCCTTACATCGCATCACGCAGGGAAGGGTCAGCTTTAGGGGAGAAGATGCTTAGCGAGTGCAGTCTTTTGCAAAAGTCAAAACGCACAAGCTCAGTCACAAAGACACACGGAAACGGCGAGCCCCCACATGCATATTACTTCAGTTAGCTCACACATTCATCAAATATGGATTACTGTCCACTATGACAGGAGCCAAGCACTATACTGAGGTATGGTGACAGTGAGCCAAAAAGGAAAATGAAGGGAAGGGTCTTTCACAAAATGACAGGAAGTAGCCACTGTCACCACAACACAATGGGTGTCTCACGGAGTTTGAGAGACATGAAGAGTTGTCCTGAGGCTGACAGTTTGTCCAGGAGGTCACCCAAGGGTCTGCTCTAAAGGGCTGTCTCATGCCCTGCTACTCCCTGAGTGTCATTTCTCCAGATGGAGTTCAAGTCTAACCCTGCTCAAGGAAATCCTGAACAGCTACTTGCATTGGACTCACCTATAAACTCCAACAGTATGAAATTAATTTTCTTTTTAATCTTTAGGAGTATAGTTGGTGGAAGCTAGGAATTCCTCCCTCCCCCCAAACTGTGTGCTTATATATACAGAATTGTGCAAGCAGACTGCCTCTGAAGCCCTTCTGTGGACTCTGCAGACCAGCCCATGGCTGTGTTCCACCTGCCGTCTGTTGCTCACACATTCTGCAGCTCAGAAGCTCCTGAGGGCATACATTTCTGTATAATGGGAAAACAGCGCAGAGCTTCCCACATTACACTCATTCAGAGCACATTTCATGACATCATGACATTATGACCATCTGAGAAATCCAACTGTTCCTTTGGAGCCAATACCCTTGAGGTGGAGCCCAGGCACCTAGAGCTAGGGTAGGCAGAAAATGGAGTTTATATTAGAACACAGAAGATGTATTCCACTCTTTTTCCTTCTGCACACTAAGTTTAGACTTGGAGATCTTGGGAATCAGGGGGGGAAAGCAATCTCGGTGGGACGGCACAGAATGTTGATGGCATACAGGGGAGCTTCCTGAATCCTGCTTCTTGGCTTGGCATCCTGTGTGATTCTCTCTCCCCAGAGAAGAGATAGAACAGGTTCTTGGGTTTCACAAACCTATTAAAGGCATGCTTTGACAGCTGACAAGCTGGCAGTGTGTAGGGAGGAGGGCCACACGTGCCCTCCTTTTGTATAGTGTTGTAAAAGGGGCAAGGAAGCCTGCGTGGTGGAGGCGGAGTGGGGCAGGTGGGATGCTCCCGAAGCTGATAGCATCTAATCACATCCTGCTATTGACAAGACCATGGCTCAGCCTCTGTTCTGCATCAATTCCATTCAGCCCTGGGTTTGGACTTTGCTGAGAGTCTGTTGATCAGATTTCCAGCAACCAGGGAAGCCTATAGGAAAACCTGCATGGTGTCTCACAAGAGGTGGGCCCTGCTGGGTGGAAGCTCGTGATCACAGTGATATCAACAATAACCAACAGACCATCCAGTATGCCATGAAGGCAACCCGTGGGCGGCCTCATTGTCCTGTGTCCCAAACTGCTTCTCACTGAGCTGGCAGCTGACACAGGGCAGCACTGTCCTCTCCACACCAGCTTGAGGATCTGAGCTTTACTTGGTGCCACACTCAATCTCATGTGACAACCTGATGGGGCTAAGGGATGCCCAGAGAGCTGGCAAAATGTGACGTGTTTCTGGAAGACTAGCATCTAAACCAACAGATAGGGTAAGGAAGATTTGTCTTTACCAATGTATTGCTCAGTCGCCAGTCTAAAGACAAGAAGCGGTAGGAGGAACAAACTCCCTGAGCTGGGATGCTGTTTTCCCTGGCTTATGGACACTGGAGTTCTTGGTTCTCTGACCTCTGGGTCCTGAGTGGGACTTGCCCCATCAGCCCTTTGCCCACATGGTTTCAGGCTTTTGAATTTGGCCAGGGCTC